TTGGAAGGCTGATTTTCTCTTCGTTTCTGATTGACCTGCTTTTGTCGCAACGAAAAAACTGTTTTCTTTGAGTAACTTCAATGGTAAGCCAAACGCGTTTGCTGTGCGCAGGACTCTTACCAAGGCAACGAACGAACAGAAAGAACAAGTGAGTTGGTATTTTCTTAGCCACACGGTCCCATTGACAAAGTAAGAAGATCTGTGTATAAAGCTGGACGGGGTTAGGCTTTTCAATCGGAACTCTTGAAGTATGTCGTATCGTACATTCGCATGATTCTCAAGTATGTCATTTTGCTATACACAGTAGTATAAGCACCAGCTTCGATACTCCACCCTTGTCCTCCCATATGCAATATGTCTTACTGACGGAATTTTGATCATATCCAAATTTTGCACAACTGTTTTCTTTCAGATTCGTACACTTTCTGGAAGCCACACAGTATGGATGTGACGCCTGGAATGAGGGGAATACGATGAAAGTTATGTGTCTCTATGACTGAAAATGTGCACATTGTTGTCGGAAAAACAACTACCATAAAGATATTTCGCATGAGGTCGCCTGGCGTAGGACACATCCTATCAGCAGTAGACAATAAACATTCACGGTGTTATGACGAGTTGCGGGTAAAACACCTGGGCCTAGGCAGAGAGGAAACCCGCAAATTTCGCTTTTGGAGAAAGTGCGCTGTGCAGTACGACATAGTCATCCCACCTAACTCCAACGATAAAGGCTTCAGGCCCCATTGTGGAATGACCCTGTACTTACTGCACTAGACACAGCCGGCTCCTTCGCAACTTTCTCCGTATATTGAGTTGACACGTGGTTGCTCGAATTGATTTCACTTTCTCGACAACACTTTGCTACTGTATTCGAAAAAATCAGAACAAACAAACTTTGGGAGACCATTCACCGGGTGAGACAAGGGAATTACACCACGACTTCCGACGAGATGGATTTGTCTCGCAGGACTGCGCTCATTCTTAGTGAAGGTCGGCACCGAATGTAGGTGCAGTTGTTCAAGTACGACAGTGTTTAGTACTCTCTGCTTCTTACAATTTTTCTTTTCAACAAAAGAAAATTCCATTTGGAAATTAGAATGCGCAGCTTTTTTCTGCAGTTCGGTGCCTCTCCTTCCATCCATTGTTTCCAGTTTTCAAGTAGTCCATCAAAGGAATCCGAACCCAGTTGGTGTTTCGAATAGCTGCTATAACACACTGCTCTCCTACTGCACAAGCATAAGTGTTTCTGAGATTCTTCTAGCAGTTCATAAGTATCCGACTGCGAGTTCACGAACCTTACCTAGAACTGCATGCATCAATAGATTTTTACTCATTATTTGAAAACAAGTTTTTGACTACAGGAATAAAGCCCTCCCGCGAGTTTCGCTTGTGACAGAGTGAAATATAGTGAGCTTCACCCCGTAAAACATAAACTCCTACTTGGAAGGCTGATTTTCTCTTCGTTGCTGATTGACCTGCTTTTGTCGCAACGAAAAAACTGTTTTCTTTGAGTAACTTCAATGGTAAGCC